CCTGGCTGCTGTGACCAAACACCCAGAGGCCCAGGGCTGAGTCCTCCATCCTGGGCCCCCCGTGTCCTGGCACGCCAGCTCCCGGGTGGCATGGCCACAGCCCGCCTCCCCCCTGGCTCCCCGCTGTTCCCTCCCGCCCCTGACACCCCCGGCCCCTCGAGGTGCGAGCCGACAGTTTGGAACGCTAGCGTGGTTGGGTTCGGCTTCCCCGACACCAGGGCGGCCCGCGGCAGCAGGCGCTGCACTCACAGCGCGGACACCAGAGGCACTCCCTCGGGGTCGGGAAGGGCACAGGTGTGCCCACAACCCCCAGCCCCCAAACGCCGCAGGTCCTGGCGAGGTCATTAGAGAAAGAAATGAACGCAGGCATCGGCTGGGGGGGGGGCGACAGTGTCACTGCTCATCCAGAAACCCAAGAAAACCCCCTGAAAGTGACTGGAGGAAGAGTTCGTGAGGCAACGGGCACCACGCTGCTGCCACAGAAGGAAAGACCCTCCCTCACGTAGAAACAGAAGAGAGAAACACGCAGGACAGAAGTTAAGCGAGGAAGTGAAAAATCAGCACGAAGGAAACTTTAAAATCTGAAGGAGCAGGAGAGACGGGTAACCACGTGCCTGAGGAGGAAGCGCCTGCAGTGTCAGGACGTCTGTTTTCCTCAGGTGATTCGTAAACTTAACAAATCCCAACCAAAATGCAGCTCCTTTCCCTTCTGGAGCTGGACAGGTCGAGCCTAAGGTCCACACGGAGAAGAAAAGCGCGAAAAGGAAATCAAGCAGCAGAGTGTGCCCCCATCGGAGGCTGGGTGTGCACCCAGCTCAGCTCCTCCCGCCTCCCTGCATTTTAAAACTGCGTCAAATCTTTTAAAAGAAGCCGTCCTTTCATGTGGTTTCTGATGTCATGTAATGGTTGGCAAGAGCACAACTTCAGGCCTGGTCCTGACAGTTACTTTGACAACAGGAGCCCCCACGGCCGGCCCAAGAGAGACCCTGTCCTGGGGGGCGGCAGCCGGATGGGGCGCGGCATCGGGGCAGGCAGCAGGAGTGTGGGGCCTCCAGGTCCTCACAGGACAGCCGAGGGACACTGGCTGCACAGAGCGTGGCCCCACCTGTGCACACGCAGCAAGAACACGCCCCACCCCACCTGCCCTGGTCCAGAAGCGGCCAGGTCTCTCCAGATTTAGAAGGAACAAGGACTGGCCCTCGTGAAGGGCCATGTGCGGTCACAGCGGCAGGAGGATGCAGCACCTGGCTGGGCGGACAGAGGCCACGTCCCGAGGGTCTTCGTGGTCCAGGGCTTTGGGACGAGCTACCAACGTCTGCCCACAGCGTCTCTGGACAGCGCGGTCCACCCACAAGACCTTAAAAACACACCAACCCCCTGGAGCCCCCTGGGTGCTCCGGGTGAGTCTCGACTGCTTTGAGCGCACGGGCCTTTCCCCCACTTGTGGGTGGGCTAGCCTGAGCCGCCCGCTCCGGAGCCCAGGGGTCGGGGCTGCATTCTGGCCACTTCCCTGCCGCAGGTGCGGCGTGGGCAGGAGAGCAGGGCTGCCATGACTCTGCCCGCGCCCGCCCACTGTGTCACCCGCTGCATCACCCACTGTGGCTCTTCCTATTCTGGGTCTGAGTTATGACAGGAACGAAGTCACTGTCTCACGGAAGTGCTGTGACTCACGCTCCCAAATGAGGGGGCACCTGCCGTCTCAAGGTCGCGGACAGTTCCCACCAGGTCACACGGCCCTCTGGGTGTGTCCTCGCACCACGTGTGTCCAGGTAGCACCCCCTCTATCACCAGGGCCCCGAGCCTGTCTCCCTGATCCCTCAGCGAGCAGTCTGTGCAGCGTCAGAGCTGGGCCCCGGCTCTGCTCCCCCAAGCTGCCCCTCACCACCTGCACGTGGCCTGAGCTCTCCCTGGCTCCTGCTCCCTGGCCCCCACGTCCACGACTACCCGCTGGACACATGATCCCCTGCCGACCTCAGCACGCGGTTCTCCACGTCCAGACCTCCCCTTCCGCCCAGGGAGCTCCCTGCTTTGGTCAGTCCATCCACACTGCCTGGCATCGGCGACACAGTGTCCTCACCTCTGCTCTGAGGCCTGATGCCCCTGGGAGACACGGCTTCGCAGGGAATCTGCGGTAGCCTGGGTTCCCTGGAGCCTCAATGGCATGGAGAGCCTCGGACGCCCTCCCTTCTTCAAACCCTTTCTCCTCCTTCCCCAAGCCCCCCGCCCCAGGGACATGTCCCCGCGCCCGTCCCTCTGGGAGGTTCCTGGGCTGCGGCTCTGCCCTCCCCGGCCGACCTCGCTCCCACTTTCGGCTCACTCCCAGCCCAGGCTGAGGTCTCCTGGAGCTGCAGACAAGTCTTCAGGTGCAACTTATAGCGACTGACACACTCAGCGAGAGTGGCAGTGAGTATCTAGAAGCCCTGGAGAACCCAGAAGAATTTACTTAAGCATCTAAGTGGCACACAGCCCAGGAAGCTCCACCATAAACCAAACAAACGAGGCACAGGGAAGACCACGTCCACGTGCGCGGAGGAACGCAAAACGAGACTCTGAGAACGGTTTCACTTTGGAACAGCGTGTTAACTGTAGGTATTTTAAGGGCAGTTTGTACCCCTGTGATCTGAGAGGTGCTGCGGTCAGGACAGGTCCCCAGAGGACACTTTCATGTTGGGGGGGGTGGGGAGAAAGGTTCAGCCACAGTCTCTTCCCTCCTGCAACAGCTTAAATGGGAACAGTTTCCCGTTCTGGTGGCTTTGCAGTTGACTGTGGCTCCTGTTTGGAAAGGATGGGTGGGCTGTGCAGATGTGAAGCGTGGCTTGTCCACGACATGGGTGTTTGTTTTATGGTAGCGCCCACCGCGCACGTGTGGTGCTGTCGCCCACTGTGTGCGCGCAGCGATACAAGTGACCGTCCACACAGTGCGCAGGGAGCACGCCAACCTGGATGGGCACCACTGGATGTGGGGAGAAGAAGAGAGATGCTTATTTTCTTCTGGCTCAGAGACCCCCTTCGAGCAGCCAACCTTCTGAGAAGCTGCGTTTTATTCCCCAGGTTTTTGGCGGCCGCTGCCCGCAGGCACGGCCTAGAGTTTCATGGGTGCCCCCATGTCTGCTGGCGCCTCAAGGACCCAGTGAGCTCCTATGGCCCCACAGCCGGCCCTCGGGGCCGCATGCTCAGGGAGGAGCCTAGAGGGAGAGGGGCGGCCGCTGGCAGGTTTCCCAGCCCCGGAGTGAGCGAGGCAGGCGGCCGTGCACCGCCCCCGGGGGTCATCATCTGAGCCCCGAGTCCCCTGCCGCTGCCCTGACGTTCCACCTGGCATGTGCCGCTGCCTCCCTGATTTCCCGACTCTGGTTCTGCACGGTGAACACTAGTGACGGCAGAGAGGGCCTCGGGGGGCAGTGCTGACCCCAGGGCCCGGACGCCAGGTGCTGGTCCGCTGGTCCAGAGACCCGGTACCAGCAAGGAGAAAGGCCCTCGTGGCCACAGCTCCTGTTACGAACAGATCCCCAGGGCTGGGCCTTCCTGGCTGTAAACCCTCACATCTTAACTGAATCATCCCCGCCGGGAGCCCAGGAGGCGGCACCCCTGTTCCCCCTGCCCCAGACCAGAGATGGGCACAGGGAGGTCGCGTGGGTCACAACGGGAGGGACTGGAATTCGGACCCCAGCTGCTGGCTGCGAGGCTCTGCCTGTACCACCGGCAGGAGACACTGACAGGCATTGGAAAGACCGAGACCAGGACCAGCCTCTCCGGGGCACCGGGCTCTGCCGGCTCCCACCCTTCCAGGGCACCTGCTTCTGGGGTCCTCGGCCGTCTCCGAGCCACTTTCCAACTCAGTGAGTGACACGCACACGACACCGTCCCCAGACACCCACCCCTCCCGACCCCCCAGCAGCTCTGCACCATCTGTCAGCCCGTCGCCGCGGCCCGACCGCCCAAGCGTGTGCGGGGTTTTGAGCTCTCCTCTGAGCCGGCCCTGACCTCTTACCAGTCCCTCGTTAACTAGCAAGTCACATAAACTCTGACACCTGCTCCCTTTATATTTGTACCAAGGATGCGACTGCACCTTAAAGAAATTATTTGAACGTGACTGCCGACGAGGTTCCAGGCACCAACCGCACACCTGGGGCGCAGAAAGGCCCCGCGCGGCCCCGTCCCAGGGAGCTCTCAGCCAGCGGGGAGACAGGTATGTACACACCGGGGTCGGAGCAGCACAGAAAAACAGTCTGGGGAGACACCCTGTCCTGACCGACCAAGCTTCGGGTGCTCCTAGAGGTCACTGACAGATTCTGTGAAAGGAAGAGGCAGAGAAACCAGACGCAGACACGAGTTCCTCCTGGGAGGCCTCCCAACTGCGGCCGTCGAAGGTGGTAAACAAGCCGCCTAAGCGGCAGTCTGCGAAGCCGGTACAGCCGTGGCTGCGGCGCAGGGGTCGCGCGCACACGCCTACCGGATGCTTTCTTTTCAAGACCTGACTTAACGCACCTGGGAAACGTGACCGGAGGAGGTTTCCGGAGAGTAAGTGAGAAAGCGGAGGAGGAAGTGCGTTTGACACACCTCACCCCAGCACACTCACGCCCAACCAGCTCCTACAAACGTCAGCCCCCAGACAAAGCAAACCTGTCTTGGAATCCGTCTGGAACGGGTAGGGTCGGGGATACCCTCCCCTGGGCCTGTTCCATGATTCCAAGAGACGGCTCGGTGCCAAAGGGAGGCATGGGAAGTGCACTGGGCACAGCTTGGGGCCCCTCTGACTGCCGGGCCCTCCCAGTGGGCTCTGGACAGGGCAGGGCAGGGCAGGGCAGGGCCCGCTGGGCCACCCGGCAAAGACAGATAGAGGGACCCGGGCTGGAGCCTGGTTGCAGGGCCTTGTCCACAGGCCTCGGAGCAAGTGGGCAAGTAGCCAGGGGGCTCTGAGGCAGGAGGCGGACACTTCAGATCTGTGCTTCCCAAATCCGGTTTAGTTCCAACGTCCGGGACCTGATGGCCTGGGGACCCCCAGGAGGCTGTGGCTGCGTTTGCAGGGAGAAAATGGGAGGAATCCGAGACCCATTTAGGAGGCAGAGGCAGGGAGATCCAGGGAGGGGACAAGCGCAGGTTTGGGGGAAAGGCCATTGTGGGTGGGAACAGGGGACTGAAGATGAGGAGAGAGGTGAGGGGGATGTGGGGGGAGCTGCTGCCCTGATTTACAGCGAAGCACCAAGCAGATGAGCCAACACCGCAGAGCCCCGACTGCTGCGCAGAAAGGCCTCCTGCAAGGATGGCTGGAGCCGGACCTCGCGGGGAAGCGGCTCCCTGCAGATGGGAACCGTCCCTGAGGGAGGAGCGAGGCTCGCGTGCTCACTGCTCGTGCATGAACAACGTGGTTGGCACCGAGCACCTGCTGCGCCCTGGGAGTCTGGAACGCCGACTCATGTTAGGCAGGGTGCCTACGGGACCCACCCCGATAAAACCCCTGCGACTCCCAACCACTTCTGGAGGGGTTCCAGGTGTCCCGCGGGACTCCACAGGGAGGGGCGCGGACAGCTCGGCTGGTTTCCTCCCGATTTTGCCACGTGCACCGTGTCCCTTTGCCAAATTCTAAATTCTACTTCACGTTCTTTCACAGCAACTATCTCAGCCTTGAGTGCAACGTGCAGAGTCCTGGGAGCCCTCTGAGAGAGTCACTGAGCCCGGAGGTGGGCCTCGAGGGCCCTGACCCAGCACAGAGTCAATAATTTTTCAAGTAAACCAACCGAGTGAGTTCAAGTCATCTGGTCCCCCCCGCCCCAAAAAAATCCAAACCATGTATACACTGAATATCCTAGACCAGTAGCCCTCAAACCTTTTAAAACAGAATTCTGGTGCATTCAAGCTTGAGTGAAGCTATTAGTATTTATTAATTTATTCCACTAATCAGTATTGTCCCCAAGCACAGACACCCCCCCACCCCGCGCACAGGGACATCCAGCCCCAGGCCCCACGCCTGCAGCAGCGGGGATGCCGCTGCTGAACACTTTGTGAGCAGAATCACAGCGCTTGGCTTCAGTTGCATGGGGTGTACTTCATCTGACACCAGCCAATGAGAACAGCAAAGCTGGTCTGATGCCCCCAAAGCCCCCAGATTTGCAAGAGGGCGAAGCCTACAGAAGCCTCATGCCAACTCAGCTTCCACAGAGTTTGGAGCAGAAACCAGCAGGACCCAGAAACGCCTTCTCTTACCGGCTTGTGGTCTGGAAGCAGGAGTGCAGGCCGACCAGGAAAGGGCTGCTGGACGCCTGCTCAAACACGTGCTTCTCCGTCTGCACCCAGTCGATGTCCTGCAACAGAAGCCGGGGTGAGCGCCTCACAGGCATCCTGGGGAGGGGAGGCAGGAGAGGAATGCCTTTCAACTCTGCTCGAGGGAAGACAATGCAGAGAGGAGAAAATGCCCACTAAGAAACGCACCCCCGCAGCCATCACCATCTCCAGCACTTCGTCCATTATCACCCGCCACCTTCACCACCAGCATCATCCCACCATCCCCATCATCACACGCATCCCTGCCACCAACACCATCTCCAGCACTTCGTCCATTATCACCTTCACCACCTTGACCACCAGCATCATCACCACCATCCCCACCATCACACGCATCCCCGCCACGAACACCATCTCCAGCACTTCGTCCATTATCACCCGCCACCTTGACCACCAGCATCGTCCCCGCCACCAACACCATCTCCAAGACCTCATCCATTATCACCCACCACCTTCACCAGCATCACTGTCCATCCTCTCATTATCCATCCTCTGTCACCATCTCTCCCACCATCACCAGCTCCCACGCCCTGCCCATGGCAGCCTCGAGAGGTCTGTATTATCATCTCCACTCAAGATAGGAGGAAACATGGGGGAAAAAAGATAGGGTTTGAGAGGGAGAGAGAAAAAATAAATATGGCAAAGTATTGATGCTTGTTGAACTTGATCGAAAAAAAAAAGGAGAAAACAAAGCGTGGCGGGTTTCCCACGGCTCCACACGCATCTCCTCAGCACCAGCTCCTAAGACAGGGCTGCCTCCCTCCCAAGCGCCGCCGAAACTCGGGGGAAACTCAGCTTTAGAGTCGTGATGACTCCATGGCTTTGGTGCCACTCCAACCCCAGGAGGCAGAGCTGGACGAGGCTCCCAGACGTCCCAGGTTAAGCCTCATACCCTAGTGGCTGGGAAAGTGAGAGGGGATGGGCTGTGTCCCAAGCAGGCTGCCTCCCCTAAAGGACGCTGGGGAAATTGGCAGACCCTCAGCGAGCGTCCCGCTGGTGGGTGAGAGGCCGCCTGGCTCCTCCCGCGTGGGCTCAGGCCTGAGCCCTGTCTTCTCCTCCCTCTCTCCCAGGAGATGCCTCGGGTGGGACGGCGCCATCCGTCCCTGAGACGGACTCCACCACCCCCTCAGCCCCACCTGCTCTGCGGTGGCCACTTGGGGCCTCAACTTGGGCGTCTCATGTCCAAAGCAGGCCTCCAACAGAGCTCTGGACAGGCCCCTGCCATCTGCTTTCCAAAGGCACCAGGTCACCAGGTGCTCAGAAAGGAAGCCCTGGAGGGTCACCAAGACTCCTCCCTGCTTCCCCACCCCTACCCCACGTGGAGACCAAGCCCTCAGGTCTCCCACTGTGCTCCCGATGCTGTTGGAACAAAGCACCCAGATGCGGGCCTTAAGACCTCATAGACGTGTGCTCTCTCTGCCTGAGCAGGTGTGGATAGGCCGGGTTACCTCCAGGGCCACTCGAGGCCCTGCTCCTCCCATGCCAGCACCTCCAGCTCCTCAGTGCACCCCTCTGCCTCCCTCTTCACGGCAACTTGTCTGGGTGTCTGCTTCTTCTTTCTGTCTCAAGTCTTTCTCTGCCTTTCTCTAAAAGGACACTTGCCCTGCATGTGGCCCCCTGAGATAATCCAGGATGATCTCCCCAAGACCCCACTTCCATGTATGCTCAAGTCACAGGTTCCAGGGGTCAGGATGTGGGGGCTCCCACCACCTGGTGTCCACGGGGCACAGGGTCCCCCATAAACGCACAGTTGGCTCCCGCTCACCAGCTCCTAGACGCACGCCCTTTCGAGACCACCTCTAAGTCCCAGCTCTGCCTCTCGGCCTGCGGGAGACCACGTGAAGGTGCCAAGAAGGAATCAGAGCAGCAAGTCCCTTCTGAAAGTCTCTTCTCTAAGGGTTCTGCAAACCCGCCCTCACACATCCACTGACTCTCCAGTCGGGAAGGGGTTTGGAATCCCCTTGCTGGGCTGCTACCAGCAGTGAAGACACTGGCCAAGCACCTCTCAGAGCCTCAGCTTCTCCAGCTGTGAGGCGCAGACACCCAAACTCACTTGTGTGCTCAGCACCCAGGGCTGAGGGGCCAGCTGGGCAGTCTGTGCACTGCACAAATGCACCCTGCCGGGAGGGCAAGTGAGCTCACAGGTGCAGCCCCAGCTCTGCCCTTCACATCGCGAGCCGGGGCCGGGAGGCCTCCTGCGGCTCACGTGTCAGCAGCTCTGAAGAGTAGCAGCGTCACTGCTGCCTGGCCCAGTCATCCTTCTGCTTCTGAGAGGCGGGCCTGCAGTCAGATGTCAAAGAAAAAGCACAAGTGCGGGAAGCGAAGAGGCCTGTGAACAGGTGCCAACAGCGCTGTCACCTCGGGACGGCCAAGCGACCGCAGCGAGGTGCCACCGGTGCACACCAGGACGGTGATGATCAGAAACCAGAAAACAGCACGTACGGACAGGAATGAGCAGAAACCGGGACCCCGGGCGCTGCTGGGGGGAGTGTAAAATGGCGCAGCTGCTGTTAAACAGACTCACCCTGTGACTCACAGTCCTGCTCCTAGGAAAAAACCCAGAGGACCTGGGGACACTTGTGCCCGGACGCTCACGGCAGCAGAGTCACACGAGCCAAAAGGTGGAAGCAGCCCCGTGCCGAAAAGCGGATGAACAGATAAGCCACACGGGGTGTGCCATGACATGGAGTGTTCTTGAGGCAGGAAAAACGGGCAAGGGCACATGGATGCTTGCTGCCACGTGGGTGAACCCCAAGCCGTGATGCTCAGTGCGAGGAGCAGACCGAGAGCACGGGGGTGAGTCCAGCTACTCAGAGTCATGGGCGCAGAGTGGGTCAGCCCAGGGGCAGAGAGCAGCACGGAGGCCGCGCACTGCGCAACGCAGACGGCGATGCGTCTGGTGCCGCCCCCGCCCCAATGAAGGCGGTACCACACGGCGGCCTCACCTCGTCGTCGTGGACCAACTCCTTCTTGACCACCTTCATGGCGTACACCTGGTCGTTCTTCTTCAGCCGCACCAGCAGCACCTTGGCGTAGCTCCCGCGCCCGATGACCCGGATCAGGTCGAAGTCCTGCAGCCCGAGCCCCTGAGAGATTTTGATTCCATCCATGCCGTCAATGACCGGCTTGAGGTCCTGGGTGGCGACAGGCAAGAGGAAGTGGGCAGGGGACCCTCACGTGCCCACTCTAGGTCTCAAAGACTGCCATCCGCACCCCACTCAGGAGTAAGGCCCCAGAACAAGTCGTGTGTGCGGTCCTGAAGGGCACACACGACGTCCGAAAGCCGCCACCAGCCGCAGGTGGCCCCTCTGCGAGCAAGCAGGGAACCCGGGTCCAGCCCCACCAGGACGGGTGAGTTTCACAGCGGGAAAGGCGTGCCCTTCCCCGGGTGTTGTTGCTCCCTGAGGCTTTGGGGATGGTGGCTGAGAACAGCCACTGTGACCTGCTCTTCCCCAGGGGCACAGTGTCTCACCGCAGCCCAACCGGGACCTCGTGATGTATAGCATGAAATACACATTCATTCTAGGACCCCTTTCCGGGGGCACAGCCAGCACGGGGTCTTCTGTTACGTTAACGAGGCAACTTTGGGGAAGCTGCTAGGGCACGTCCTGATGGAGCTGGCTGCCAGGGGAACGACCCCATGGTTAGACGGTTGGCCCTCCAGGGAGGGAGAGGGGCTGGGGTGAACCCGTCCCAGTGGCTGATGATCCAGCCATCGAGCCAGTGTAAGGAAACCTCCACACGGGCCCCAAAGGACTGGCCGGAAGGTGCTCACCCGGGGGGAGCGAGGACGCTCCCAGCTGTTCCCCACACGGCGCCCGGGCTTCTCTCCCAGCTGGCCGGCCCTGAGTTACATCCTTTTACAGCAAACCAGTGGTCTGGGAAGTAAACTGTTTCTCTGAATCCTGGGAGCTGCTGTAGCCAATCAGGTGAGGCTACGGGACCCTCCAGTCTACAGGCGGTAGGCCAGAAGCCCAGGTGACAACCTGGACTTGAGACTGGGATCTAGAGAGAGTGTGCGGAGGGGCAGGCTTGTGGGGCCGAGCCCATAACCTGTGGGATCTGGCGCGACCCCCGGCAGCTCGTGTCAGAACTGGGTTAAGCTGTCGGACACCTGCTCAGTGTCGGCTGAGCACTGGAGGGTTGCTCGTGGAGCTGAAAGCACTCGGAAATAAAGGAAGGATTTCCTGCCATGAAATCTGATGCAAGTTGCTGCTCCGGAGCCAGCCCTGCACCCTCTGCTGTCCGGGTGGGGTGGGAGCAGGGAGACCACACACACAGCAGAGGATGTGCCAGGCCCCAGGCCCCAGAGAGCCTCTGGGGCAGCAGCCCCTGGGGGTTCATGAAGGAGGTGCCCCGGCCAGACCCAGCCATGGAGACAGCAGGCTGCCTCTGGAGCCAGCCTCGGGCCGGGCGCCCCCTCTCACCCCTCGACAGACTCCGCCATGCTGGACACCCCTCCCCCACAGCCAGAGGCCTGTGCCCCAAGTGAGAGGTGCATGTGAGCACCAACGTCTCTGCCACAGGATGGGACCACCGTCACCGGGAACATACAGCGACTGGAGAAAACATGAGAATCTGGAGGCTGGATGCAAGAGGGAGAACTCAGCCCTCTCGGGGGGTGAGCACCCGGCAGCCTGCTCCGGCCCTGGGCCCACCCCACCCGGGATCAAGGGCAGAGCCAATCAAGGGCCATCCCTGCGCGTGGACCCCTGTAGTAAGGCCAGCCATGCGGGAGGACCAAGATGACGAGCGATCCCGTCCTGTCTTGTCTCAAAGCACAAGAGCACGGGGTTCCCTCTGTGGAGGTCGCCTGTGCCCCTTGTGGCCCCCGTGATGGCCTGAGCCACCTGGACTGGTGTGGAGACAACCACACGAACGGTCAGTGCTGTGGAGAGTGTCCTGCATGCTGGGCGTGGCACCAAGCCTTTAGACAGATGCTCTCGGTTTATCCTCACAAAAGGTGCAATCATCACCAGAACCTGACAGAAGAGGATCCTCAGGTCAGAGAGGTCCCCTGACCCAGGCTGAGACCAGGGCTCACACAGACTCAGCCACTGACCCCACACCCCCAGTTCTGCATCGCTGTCAGGGTTGAGCACCACACCCTCGGCTCTGAGACTCCACAGCAGGTCACGTTTGGTCATGTTCGCCTGCTCTCTGTTCATCTACCTGCTCAGAGAGCGCCTCTGTGCCAAACCGCTGACCCATCTGCCTCGGACGTCCACAGACCACACCCTCGTGTAAGACGGGCGACAGTTCCCGGACGGCGAGCTCACATTTAAATTCCCACAACTGCCCCAGAAATGAGCTACGGGCCCACAAAGGGCTCTGGAGGCACCAACGAGCCCGTCTCTACACTCACCTCAGAAGCATCTTTAATGCTGTCGTGTTTCCGGGTTGAAGAAATATAAGCAACTAGAGAAGAGAGAAGGGAAAGGGTGTTGCAGGCGTCGGGAGCACGGCCCGCACCACGGGGACTCCCGGCCCTTCCCCCTCAGGCGCCGCTCGGGGCGGCCACGTCTGACTCTGAACTTCTGGGGTTGGGGACCTGCATGCATGACAAGCTCCCCTGGTGACTCTCCCAGAAGTGACAGTCACGAGACTCCGGCCTTCTAGTCTACTCTCACAGTGCACAGGGGATGGGTGGGCGGCTGGCAGGTGAGTGGTGGGTGGACAGTTGCAGGCTAAGAGTCTCCTTTGCGTGAGGTGTGGGCTGAGTGGACTATATTCTGGGGTCTCATTTTGTCCCAGGGGACGGGATTCACATTTCCGAGGGGCGGGCGAGGGCCCCCACACGCTCTTGTTAACAGTGCGTAACTGTAGCTCAGAGCTGGGCCGTCGGTCCACCTGGCATCAAAATCACCGTTGGAATGCTTCTTAGCATTAAAAAAGTCTCCCCCACCCCCCAAAAAAGACAAAACCCCCACTAAAACCCAAGAACTACACCACAGCACGCCGTGTGCGCACAGATGGCATCCAGCATGTGGGCGGGGCCGGCCGCGGTGGCCGCAGCACTAGTGTCCTCCAGAACCCCCAGAGCGGGCACAGGGGGAAAGCCCCCAGCCCAGGACCCCAGGCAGCACGCTGGGAGGTGGGTGCCCTGGACGA